CTTCTCTTCCCCTCTCCTCCCTTCCCCTCCCCACCAGCAACCACCAGTTCATTCTCTGTATTTATGAGTCTGTTTCTGTGTTTTTGTCTGTTAGATTCCACATGTAAGTGAAATCATACAGCATTTATCTTTCTGTCTGACTTATTTCACTGAGTCTAATACCCTCTAAGTCCATCCAATCACTCTGGTATAAAATGTCCCTCCCCTCCTCCCCGCCAAAATAAAAGCTCACTTAGATTAAAAACCCTCAAATAGCTGGCTGCCCCTTGTTGACCCTCCACACAGTATTCCTGGAGTCTACAATTTACAAGACCTAACTGCTAATCATGCCTGATTCCTTTGCAGTAGGGAGGAGGGAGGTTGCCTTAGTTTCAGACTTCCTGAAGGCTGGCACCAGGGCACACCAGACACAGCTAGCATCAGAGAACCTGCATTCCATTCCTGGCTATCAAAATTCTTTCAGTGTCTGTTTCTTCATCTGCAAAATGGAAACCCATTCTACCTTATCAGAGTTATCGTGAGCATTAACTGAAATGGACTCAGCATGACATCTGGCACACAGCAGGTACTTAATGTTGGCTGCTATTGCCTATAAAAGGAAGCTAATACCCTCTGTCATGAGTACTGTGCCCTGCACTGTTCAGAGAGCTTGCAATGAGGCCAGCAGGATGAGCTCCAGAGGGTGAATCCTTAGAGGACACACCTGCATAGGTGCTGGCGCTCAGTGCTATGAGGACAAACTGTATTGTTTTGAAATTCTAGCTCAGATCAGATTTGTCAGAAAGCATGCCCTAGCCTCTCTGGTTAATGGTATTACCCAGGAGCTCAGAGATGCTGGCCAGAACCAGCTGTAGTTCCTGCTGCATATTACAGATGGATACAGTAACTTTGCCCCTGTATTCTCCCAGATGCATTAAGAGAATGGCCTACTGCTATGATAGAATTCCAGTGCAAATCTCAAGCCTGATCTCTTGAGGAGCTATTTGCAAGATCATGAAGCTCAGTTTTTGTAGTATCCCATGGGTGGTTCTCCAGACAAGCTCCCAGGGGCTAAAATCTAGTCTACCAATCCCTTTTCTATCATCATAGATTTCCCAAATGCTCTGAAAATCAAAAGGAAACCTGGAAGTCATTTGGCAGGAAAAGCTGACTTGCAGTGGCATGGGGGCAATGTAGTCCTTATTATCCCTCTTAGCAGGATAATGCATGCATTCTTGCAGAAACATCAGTGTGTCCGATTACAGTGCTGACCCAGACTTGGGGGAGGTGTCACATCATGTAGTAAATGTACCAGATAACAATTATTTTTTGAAAATCTGAAAAAAAAAAGATCTTGATTCCAAACATATCTGGCCCACAGGTTTCAGGCAAGGAATGAAGATTTATAACTTTCTATAAACCAGCATTTCCCACATTTAAGGTACCTAAGAAGTTTGTAATAATAGAGATTCCCAGGCCCTCTATAGAGTTTCTGATTTAGTAGGTCTGGGGTGGAGCCTAAGATTCATACCAAGCACCTGTGTGAAGCTACTGTAAGCAGGGACCTCACTTTAAGCAGCAAGATTCTAGGATGCTCACTCTGGCACCAGGGGCCTGTGAGCTGCCTCAGCACAGAGTTCTGGTTGGCCTGACCCTTGCCATGCTCCTGATCAGCGTGGTACCCAGTTATATGGCCAAATATTCTTCTGGGTGTGTCTAAGAGGGTGTTTCTGGATGAAATTAACACTTGAATCTGAAGAGTAAATAAAGCAGATTGCTCTCCCTAGTGTGGGTGGGCCTCATCCAATCAGCCGAAGCCCTGACTAGAACAAAGCAGGCTGAGTAAGAGGCACCTCCTCCTGCCTGACCTACTTGAGCTGTGGCATTAGTCTTTTTTTTCCTATCTTTGGACTTGCACTGAAACATTGGGTTTTCTTGGGTCTTGAGCCTGCTGGCTTCCAGGCTGAAATTTACACCATCAGTTCTGGTTCTCAGACCTCTAGACTCAGACAGGAACTGCACCACCTGCCTGCCTGGGTCTCCAGTTTGCTGACAGCTGATCTGAGGGCTTCTCAGCCTCCGTAATCATATGAACCAAGTCCTTATAATAAATTTATATATGTATACAGATTTACATGTATATATACTTATATATTCATTCATACACACACATCCTATTTTTGCTTCTCTAGAGAACCCTTATATAGAATTTGTATGAAGAGTGGGGTAAACAGATTTTATAACCAGGAGTGAGGTGCTGCTTTAACAAATACCTAAAGATGTGGCAGTGGATAACCAGTAGAGGCTGGAGAGTTCTGAGGTGCATGCTAGAAATACAGACATTACAGGTGATTCCAGTGAAGGCTCAGAAAGAAAACAGGAGAGCTGGAGAGAACACTCCCATCTTCGTGGAGAAGACATAAATAATCATAAGCAGCATGTTAGTAAATATGTGAATGTTAAAAGCCATTCTGGTGAGATCTGAAATAAGAAGTATGTTTTTGGAAACTCAAGACCCAGCTGGATTCTTGTTATAAAGAGGAAAAGAATTTGGCTGAACTGTGTTCTGTAGAAGGTAGAACTTGTGAACAATGAAATTGGGTATTTAGCCGAGGAGCTCTTTAAGCAAAGTGTTCTAAGAGTGGCTCGGTTCCTCCTGACTGCTATAGTGAAATGCAAAAACAACAACAACAAAACAGCTGAATTAAAGAAAGCATTGTTAATCCCACGACTTGAAGGTCTGTAAAATTCTCTCCCCATCCCTATTGCAAAAAATAAGAAAGCTGGTCCTGAAGAGATCACTAAAGGTGTGGCCAAATAACCTTTTGATAAAGAGACCATGGGTGCAAACTATAGCTCTAATCAGCTATCTCAGCGGAAACCAGGAATAGAAAGGGGATTGCATCAGCAGAAATACTGCTGGTTTGAACCAAGAAGGCCGAGAAGGGACAAAACGAAGGAGGGCTTTGAACTTCCTGTATTCTACAGGACCATGGAGCCATCTGGCTGTGAATATGCTCTGAACCTCATGAAATGAGAAGACTGGACTGCCCAGGGGTCAGAGACCCTTAGGGACCACCACTCCTGTCACAGGCCCAGGGGACAGGCTGGTTCCTTCTCAAAGGGCTGGGCTGCTTCTCGGTTTCTGTGAGCCAGGATGTCCCCGTGCAGTGCCTCAGGGGCAGGGTTGCCCTGAAGAGACGCGGGGATGACAAGGCCCTCCCCTGTGGGCCTGGAGGGCACAGCATTGAAGCAAAGGATTATTCTGGACCCTAAGGTCTAGTGGAATTTCTCTCATAAGTTTTGGGCTTGCTTGGGATCTGTCACCCTTTCCTTCTCTCCTATTTCTCCCTTTGGGAATGGGAATGTCTATCCTATGCCTGTCCCGTCACCATATTCTGGAAGCACATAGCTTGTCTGGTTGCACAGGTTCACAGCTAGGCACCAAGGGCAGGCTGCCCCAAGATATGCCACTTTGACATTCATTTTATTCTGAAGTGAAAGCCAGTAACTCAGAAGCCAGAAGAAGGTACTTTGACTTGCCCAGCCCCCCACAACGAATAAAAAGAATTCAGATGGAGAACTGCTCTGAGAGGAGAGCTATTACCATAGATAACTACATTACAATGTAAACTAGGGGTGCGAGACTTGGAAGGACTGTGACAAAGCTTGTTGCTAAAATTCCTCTCTGTGCCCTGTTGTTTCCCTGTGGCCCACCAGGTATCTTGTTTATCAAACATGGACTCTCTTCACATTCCTGTGAATTGCTTCCCCTTTGCTTAAAGATCTCAGACCCCTACCACCTTCTCCTTGGTTCAGGACAACAAACAGACCTTGTTGACTGTCTGGAACCCATGTCTTTAGCAGTCAAACTTTCTTTTCTTTCCCACCCCATTAATCTGTCTCATGACAATTTGATTCTTGGACCAGCCAGAAGAACCTCAAGAGGTAGAGGAAATTTCTTCCTCCCCAACACTAGAGAGGAATTTTGCCTCGGCATGAATCCTGCCTGCAGTCTCACATCTGATGCGATGAGACTCTGGACCTTAGACTTCAGTTGGTGCTGGATGGATTTCGAGTTCGGGGGATGCTGAGATGGAATGTATTTCGCCTGTGAGTGGGGCATGATTTGGGGGGACCAGGGACAGAATGCTATGGACTGTTTGTGTCCCCCCACAAAGTTCCCATGTGAAAGCCCTCAGTGTGACAGTATGGAGATGGGCTTTGGGAAGGTAATGAGGCCAGGCCCTCAGAATGGCACTAGTGCCCTTACGAGAACAGACAAGAAAGCTCACCCTCTTGCTGGTTTTTCCTCGGTCCTCCATGTGAGGACACAGCAAGATAGCAGGCATCTCTGTGAGCCAGCAAGAGAGTCTCACCCGAAACCGACTATGTGACCCTTGATCTTCCAGCCCCTACAACGGTGAGAAGCAAATTTCTGTCATTTAAGCTACCCAGTCTATGGTATTTTGTTATGATGCCGAGCAGACTAACCCAGACACTGTAATCCCCACATTTTCTTATCTCTTTCCTCTGGAAATGTGGGTTCCCCTTACTTTATTCTGCATCCAGCATGGTGCCTGGAGCCAAGACAAGAATCTGATCTCCCCTGACTACTCTTGCTTTTAAATGTGAGAATACCTATTCATTCTAACAGCAGTTTCCATTTCTCATTCTTTTTTGCACACACTGTGCATCCCAACATCAAAAAACTCTGGCATATGAGGGGTTATATATGGCCATGGCCAGAAGGGGTTTAAAGAAAGTAAGAGCTACAGAGGATGGTGTGCTGACTTACCTATTCCCAGGTAACACTGTTGACAGGGAACTAATAATGCAAGAGTCTATATAAGATAACTGATTTTTTTCCTATTTCAGTCTCCTGAACAGAGACCTGGTCTGCTGTTTTGCCTGAAAGGAATTCCTGAACCTTCCGACATTCCCAGTCTCACGCTGAGGTGGAAAACACCTGAGGTCAACGGGACACTGTAGAGAGTATCTGCCGTGCTGGGCCCTCCCTGGCTTTGGCCCCTGTTTTGTTGGCACAGAAACAATTCTTAATTAACAGAGGAGAACTAAATCCCATCCTACCTAGTGGGCAGCAGACAAGAACCACCCCCTGGCTTTCTTACCACCGTTGTCCAGGGCACCTGGGGGATCCTGGTGTAGGTCATTGTTATATAGATGATGAGGAAGAAGACGGTGAGGACCCAGTAAAATACAGCTACGAACATGACCCAGCCAAACGCAGGGACCCGGAAGTACTCGGTTCCAGCGATAAGCGTCCAGACCAGCAGTCCCAGAACCTGTAAATGGTAGAGGCAGCAGAAAGGGAGGCGAAAGGAGAAAATAAAGAAAAAGGGGAAAGTGAGGACAGAGAGAAAAACAGTGTGAATTTACAACTTTCATCCATATATATACACAGACACGTGATTTAGGAATACAGTTAGGGTCCCAACCTCACACGCCTACAAATGTCAGAAAGGTAAAGTAAATGAACATAATAGGCAAGGCAGATAACATGGCAAATGAGAGAGCCTGTCTTGTTCAGTAGCCTCTGCTCAGCTTCAGCCCACTGTTGTGGGCTGGTTTTGCTAGATCTTCCTTTACTTTTTTTCCAGAACATGGAAACTCCAGTTTGTAAAGGGTAATCTTGATTTTTCAATGTTTGCAGTAATAAAGAGTTTTAAAACATCATGAGGGGCAAAACAACACACATCTGTGGCTAGGATTTGCTCAGAGACTGCAGGTCCACTAGAAGTGGTCCTGGGACTCATCTGGAAGGAGCCTCTGAGGATTCCCACTGGCCACACGGGTGGCAAAGAACGTGGGGCCCGGGTGCTCTAAGCATGGCCCGTTCTGGTCACTCGGCATTTTAACATAAGCTGCACATATATTTATTTCAGAACAGCCGTCTACCACGTCACTGATGCAGACTAGTAAGACCAAATCAACAGCCAAATCATCGTCACCCGCTGACTAAGGAGGACTTCACCAGGGGGAAAGGAGCTGATCTCAACTGGAGCTGTCTTTAGTTCTAAACAAAGGAAGGAGGGCCAGGGCAAAGCATATCATGCATTCTAGCACCTTCCAGGGACTTGGGAGGACTTTATCGGCATCTAAACCACATCCCCAGGAGACAGCACCAGGAGTCTGGGGCAGGCTCTGGCTCCAGACAGATTATTTTGTTTTTGCTTTAGCTTTTTTCATGATCTACAGAACAGAATATTAAAGGCATTTCAATCACAAAGCCAGGAAGACAGCCTTCACTCATTCACTCACTTTAGGTGCTTCACTGGAGAGCACCTAAAATATGCCACGCCTCCAGCCATCAGGCTCCAAAGATAGAGTGGGACACAAACTGAACCTATCCATGCCAGACACAATTTACAATCTAGTGGGGGAAATAGCCAGATAATTACAATTGTGAAAAATGTTCTGAAGGAAAAGGAAAGCTGTGAGAGGGTCTTTAACAGGGATATTAACCTTGTTGCAGGCAGAGAAGTGTCAGCGAAAAAGAACCTGAAGACTGAGTAAGATGGTGAAACAAGAGGCTGGAAGACCAGGTTCTAGGCAGAGACCATGTGCGGGCAGAGATCTGCAGGCGGAAAGGGCTGTGCTGCCTCCTAGAGCCTGTAAGAAAGTTAGGAAGCTGGTGCAAAATGTCAGCGCAGTTGGGGAGAGTCAGGAAGCCTAAGGATTTTGTACTTTCTCCTAATGAGTTGAGGGTGTGGAGCAAGACAATGATAAGATCAGGCAGGTTGATAATAGGACTGGCTGCGTGGGGAGAAAGGGGAGTGGAGGGGACAGTGGGTGGGAGGAGGCCAGCAGAGACTGCTGAATGTCACCATGGCCCCGGCGGCAGAGGATGATATATTCAGCACCAACATGGTGGCAGTGAATATTGAGAAGTGAGTGAATTGAAGACAAATTTCAAAAGTAGACAGGACTTCACTAGATTTCATAAATTAGATTAGGATGAAGTGGAAGGACCTCTGGGGTCTCTGGAAAGATGGACAAAGTGGATTAGGTGGTCATTTCCTCAGCTCAGTTTCCAACCTAGCCCTTTGGAGGTCGCCAGGGTCTTCCAGAGAGAGACAAGAAGTGGACACTGCAGGGAGAGGAGTTTGGACCCCCACTTTAAGAAGGAAGACTTACTGTGAAGATCACTGAGCCCTCAGACAGGTTCCTGAGGGACATTTTAACTGCTTGCTGACAGAAGCCACCTCTCTGGTTTGGGTGCCTGTCCTAGAGGGCAGGAAACAGGTTTCCCCTCTTTGGAGAACAAGGTTGTTCTTTTATCTGCTTGAGACTGTGTATCAGTTCCCAAGAAATGCTAAGTGGAGGTGTGCTTTTGCGCTTACACCTGTGGCAACAGAAGTTATTGAAAGTGAAGAGCCTCAAAATGGCAGAGAATTCTAGAAGATGTTGAGCCTCACGTTAATGGGATTTGGGGCCCGAATTAATCATAACTGACAGGTAATCTACACACGTACATGTGACATTCCATTGCATCAATGAGACTGGATGTAATCCAGCATGGCAGGTTCTGAAATAACATCTCCTGCAGGCTCTGCATTTAAACTGAAAGGGCTGGATGAGTCATAACCATAAAACATAACCATGAAACATAATCGTGCGTTGCAAATGGGGTTCAGGGGTTTCTCCAGGGGAGTGCAAGGGTTTAAGTTTCCAGCACAAGCCCATGTCCAGCTAAACAGGCTCAGCTAACAGCTCTTGGCTCTGAATGCAAAAACCTTTTTCATTATTTAAGCAAGCAGAGTCCACTGTCTAGAAATGCTTTATCTAAAGTGCTAGCACTTTCACACACAGGGACTATCATTAGCTGAACCATCTCTCAAAGGGCAGGAAAACTTGGCCCATGATCTCACTAGCAAACACAGTAAAAAAAAAAAGGCTCCTGTCAAGAAAAGAATTCTTCTACCCAAGTGGATTTCCCACGTAACTGAAATATATCCAGAAGCAAACCTTTTGTCTCTCACTGTAACCGATACTGATGAAAATCACTCCACAAGAATGTTATTCATTTCCTGCAGTGTGTGTCAAAGACAAACTTTGGCTCTTGACTGGCTTAGACTACAAAAACACTGTTTGCTTTTTACCGATAAGCACTTCCTTTTAGGCTAAAACTCATTTTGAGTGGTAAAGCTAACACTTAAAAATTTTTGTGAAGTGATAAATGCAGACCAAAAAAAATAAAAACTGCAAGTAAATAAAGTATTTATCAAGTACACAAAGGAGTGACAACAGTCTCCAGCCTCCAGGCCAATACAACAATTTTATATGTGCCCTTCCTAACTTCTTCCCTTGCATCTGTTAACTACTATCTGCACATCTTTTTCTTTCTCCCTTAAAAATATGGATCACTCCGTGCACGATGCCTATAACTTGCTTCTATCAGTCAGCAATACCCTGGAGGACTTCCTTCCATGCTACTACAGGCAGATCTTTGCCAATTTTAACAGTTGCCCAGTTTTCCACAGTTCACGTAACCAGGTCCCTAAGGAGAGAAATTTAAATCTTCTCCTTTATGGTTGTACAAAAATGCCCAGTGGACATTCCTATAATATACACCTGAATTCCAGGGTAGATTCCTAGAAGTGGAACTTCTAGGTTATTTTAAGCTTTATAGCAACTGCCAAATTGCTCATCAAAACCATATGCTAACTCATTCTCTCATCAGTGTGGGCATGCTCTTCCCTTCAACTCTCATGAAATTCCCACATTTAAAATGATTAAAAGTCTGATTTCTTAAAATGTCATGTTTCACCTCTCAGTATGCTTTATTGAAAGACAGCATAGAGAGAAGTGACAAATCCTCAGCAAACAGCTCAGTGAATTTTTCACAAACCACACAAACCTGTGTAACCAGCATCGACATCAAGAAACAGAACATGTCCAGGACCTGAAGGCTCCCTCTTCACTTCTAGATACTCCTTCCCTCCCCAAAGGTGACAACCCTCCTGATTTTTACCACCCTGGATTAGGGTTGCTTGTTTTGAACTTCCGATAAATGGCATCCTATAGCCTGTACTCTTACGTTTGGTTTCTTTCACTCGGCACTGTGAGATTCCCCCATGACACTGACTGTCACTCACTGGTTCCCCTGGCTGTGCAGCAGTGGTTCTCAAATGGGAGTGAGCATCCGAATCATCCTCAGGCCTAGTTAAACCACAGATGGAAGGGCCCCACTCCAGAGCTCGTGATTCAGGAGGTCAGGATGGGACCTGAGAATCTGCATTTCTAACCAGTTCCCAAGTGGTGGGTGGGATGTGGCTGGTCCAGGCACCACACACTACGAGCCACTGTTGGACGGTACTCCTGTTTGCTTTTATTTGCATTTTCCTGATCAGTAGTAAGGATGGTAGACCATCTTTTCAAATGCTTATTAGCCACTTTCAACTTTCAGTTCTTTCTTAATTTATTGATAAGTTTGAAAAAAAACACTTTTTTACTGATCTGTAGAATTCTTCACTTTAGAGGGATGGTGACCAACTACATATGTGGCAATATTTTACACATCCGGCTTTGTTTTTTTAACTTCACAGGGTCTGTTATCAAATGGAAATTTAAGTTTTTTTCTGGTTAACTGGTTGCTCTTTAAAACCTTCCTATCTGCTTAGGAAAAGGTCTTCTTCAACACAAGATTCTAAAAACATTCTTGTCTTTTTTCTTGTAGGTTATATGTATGCTTAGATCTTAGACCATCTCAAATTAAGTTCCACATACGGGGGGAGGAAAGGCTAATTTTTTTTTTTTTCCTAGCAGTGGTCAGTTGACCCATTGTCACTTACAGGTGATCTCACATATTGGTTCCATTTCTGGAATCTTTACTCTGTCAGCTCCTCTGCGCTGACTGCTACCAGGGCTGACTACTGTAGCTTCAGCATGTATTAGGTTTCTGGGTCAAGATGTCAAACTGAACACATCAATCTAATTTTGGTCCTTCCCCAAACCCTTCTAAAACTACCATGAGGATGGGATGAGTAGGAGCAGAGTCAAAAGCGATGCATTTTTGGAAGCCTGGAACACGTGTCAATGAGGATAACTGACTTGGCCACGTGAGAAGGCGGTATTCTAACAAAGCTGGCAGGTGTGGGAAGTGACGAACCAGACCCAAGCTCACTGCTAAGTGGGAAAGGGCACAGGTGCTGTGGGGCTGGGAGCACGGCGGGTGGCGACATAGGAGGGTCTGTGGAAAGCTGTTTGGCACCAGCCATGTCCTTACCTGCTGCCCTACTCCAAGCTGCTGGGTGACTGCCCCACCTGTCAGTACCTGAAGGCT